CCCTTTATAGTTTACATTATCATGAGCGGTAGACAATAAACAAAAACTTATTTTAAAGTAAAGTGTATGCCAGAAAGTAAAAAAAAAAAAAAAAAACTACATGGAAAAAAAAAAAAAAGAGCAGGGTAAGGGAAATCAAAAGTCATGAGTTGTAGTTTTAAATGGTATGGCCTAAGTAAGCCTCCTAAGGTGATATCTGAGTAAAGTCTTAAAAGAAAGGAGTGAGATAGCCATGCAGCCATCTGGGGAAGAGTATTCTAAACAGAAGTAACTAAAATTGGCTTGGTATGGAGAGCTCAGAGGGGAGTGAAGCAGAAAGTCCAGTAATGAGACTGGTGCAAGATAATGAGTGGCACAAACCAACAGATAAATGTTTTTAAACATTTTATTGAAATATGATTTATGTACAGTGAAATACACAAAATTGGCCGTGATTTTGAGTGGCTTGGAAGCTGGATGTAGTTATTCCCCATGATGAGACTGGATGTAGTGTAATCACCCCCATGGAGATATCTGCTATGAATAGCTAATTAGTTGAAGGGGAGTTGCCTACAGGGTATGGACTGCTTCCAGTACATGACGCTTTGAGAAGGGTCTCTAGCTTTTTGCTCATTATGGATCCTACATTTGTCCCATCACCTCCAGTTCCTGGACTTCAATCAGTAACCTGTCACATTGCCTGCGGATCTCGGGATTGTTGCCTTCGCAGCTTGTGAGCCAACAATCTGCCACTTTACCTATCAATCTTAAGATTCGTCAGCCTCAGCAGCCAGCTATACTGTCCGCCAATCTTGAGTTAGTCCCCTGCAGCTGCGTGAGCCAGAAGCCTCCAGCTTGCTCCAGTGGGCCTGGAAGGCAGAGCTGAAGCCCAAGGTTGAGGGGCTTCCACCTAGCCCCTGGAGCCAGTACTCTGAACTCAAAAGACTCCTAGCCAATCTTCCCCTAGTGCTGGCACTCTCACTTTGGACTTCTAGCTTCCTAACTGTAACAGAATAAATGTGTTTGTTAAAGCCAACCATTTGTGGCATTTCTGTTATAGCACCACGAGAGAACTAAGACAGGGACAGAGAGACCTAAACCTGTTGCTGTCAATTCCAAGTCATAGACCCTATGTTGTTGTTATGTGCCCTCAAGTCAGACCTGACCCATAGCGACCCCTCCTTGGGTTTCCGAGGCAGTATCACTACATAAGTCGATTGCCCAACCTTCCTTCCAAGGAGTGGCTGGTGGGTTTGAACCGCCAGCCTTCTGGTTAGCAGTCAAGTGCCTTAGGCACT